TTTCCAGAATGTCATTTTTTTGGATTTGTAGAGTATGTAGCCTTTGGATTAGCTTCTTATACTAAGTAACATGCATCTAAGTTTCCTCCATGTCTTTCCATGGCTTGATAGCTCTTTTTTTTTTTTCAGTACTGAGTAATATTCCATTCCTGAATGTACCACAGTTTATTTATCCATTCATCTATGGAAGAGCATCTTGGTTGCTTCCAAGAGCTGCTATCTGTGTCTTGTACAAAAACTTTTGTGTGCAAGTTTTTGCATTGATATGTTTTCAGTTCATTTGGGTAAATACAAGGAGCACTGTTGCTGGATCATATGGTAAGGATATGATTAGTTTTATAAGAAACTGCTCATCGGTCTTCCAGAATGGCTGTACCATTTTGCATTTTCACCAGCAACGAATAGGAGTTTCCATTGCTGCACATCCTCATGCATTTGGTGTCGTCAGTGCTTTAGATTTGGCCATTCTAATAGGTGTGCAGTGGTATCACATCGTTGCTTTAATTTGCAATTCCCTAATGAAATATAATGTTGAACTTCTTTTCATATACTTACTTGCAGTCAGTCTGTATATCTTCTTTGGTGAGGTCTTTGATACATTTTTTAATCAGGCAGGTTTTTTTTATTGTTGAGTTTCAAGAGTTCTTTGTATATTTTGGAGAATAGTCCTTTATTAGATCTGTCTTTTGCAAATGTTTCTCCCAGTCTGTGGCTTGTCTTCTCATTCTCTTGACAGTGTCTTTTGTAGATCAGAAGTTTCTAAATTATAATTAAGTCCAGCTTATCAGTTATTTCTTTCGGGGATCATGCCTAAAAATCAGTTGAATCTAAAAATCAGTTGCATTTAAAAATCAGTTACCATACCAAGTTCACCTAGGTTTTTTCCTTTGTTCAAGGAGTTTTAGAGTTTTGCCTTTTATATTCAGGACTATGATTCATTTTGAGTTAAATTTATGAGGGCTGTGAGGTCTGTGTCTAAATTCATTTTCTTAAACATGGAGATGTCCAGTTCAATCACCATTTATTGAAAATACCATCTTTGCTCCATCGTGTTGTCATGGCTCCTTTTGTCAAAAATTAGTTGTCTATATTTTTGTGGGTCAGTTTATCTGTTCTTTCACCAATCCACACTGTCTCAGTTACTATAGACGTAGTAGGTCTGGAAGTTGAGTGGTGTCAGTCCTCCAACTTTGTTCTTCAATATAGTGTTGGCTATTCTGGGTATTTTGCCTCTCCATATAAACTTTAGAATCTGTTTATTGATATCCACAAAATAACTTGCTGGGATTTTGATTAGGATTGTGTTGAATCTATAGATCGGGTTAGGAAGAACAAATCTTGACAATACTGAGACTTCATGACCTTGAAGTTCTTGCATGTCGTCTACGTTTTCAGTTAAAGCCTCTAGCATATTAATCATGGTTTTTAAAAATTCTTTGCCTAATAATTCCTGACATATCTGACTGTGGTTCTAATGTTTGCTCAGTCTCTTCAAATTGTGTTTTTTACTTTTTAGTATGCCTTGTAATTTTTCCATGAAAGGTAGACATAAAGTACTAAGTAAAAAGAACTGTGGGAAATAGGCCTTTAGTGATGGGGTTGGTAGGGTGTGGGAGGAGAAAATGTTTATAGACCTATGATTAGGTCTCAGTCTTTTGGTGAGCATGTGCCCCTGGACTATGAACCTCACCAGTGCTTCTGAAGTCCCCCACTCCTTAGGTGGTATGGGATGGCTGAAATGGGTAGAAGTTGGATATTTCCCATCCTCCAGTTAGGTTAGACTGGTAAAATAGCTTCTCCAGAGGGTATGCCTTGTTAAGAAGAATAGAATGCTCTGGTATATTTAAAAATTGCTTGCTCCCCCTCCCATAAGCAGGAGGGAATTTTTATCCAATATTCACTATGAGAACCTGGTAGTGCTCTTGGAGATAAAACTCACAAAATTATGACTCGTTCCCCCTGGAGTTTTTAACACTCAGACTTGTCCACACCAAGCCTGCAGCAATGCATCAGTTTCAGTTTAGTTTTCCTAGTCTGGCACTGGTTGCCGTGGAGGTTTCTGTTACTGGGTTTCTGCTCTGAGAAGTTGTGATTCTCTGGATCTGCCTGTCTGCCTCTCCAATTTTGAGGGCAGCAGTTTTGCCCTTTGACTTCACGTCTCTGTTGAATCTAAGAAGAGTTGTTGATTTTTGTGTTTGTTCAGCTTTTTACTTGACAGGACAAAATGATGACTGCTAAGCTCCTTAAATGCCAGACCAGAAACTGGAACTTGGAAATATTTTATTTCTATTTTTATCTGTTGGTTTCAAAAGTGGAAAATAAGGAAATAATATTGGAATAGAAAGGGCATCATGCATAATCTTGCTAATAAAGGCAACCGGTGTTATTTTGACATGTCTTTAGACCCTTTTCTTACTGTATTTTTTCTTTATACAAGTGAGATTATGTAATTTTGCTATTAGCATAAGATCCTCAAACCTAAAACTGAAATATAGATGTCCGCTTCCTTAAACTATCTTTTTCTTGTATTATCTGGATCATCTCACCATCTACCCCCACTCACCAAACCGGAAACCCGGGGAGTTGTCTCTCTCATCCCTCACGTCCATTCAGACCCCAAATCATGACAGTTACACTGTCTAAATGTTTTTGGCTATCTCTTATTTCTTCTCTTAGCACTTTTCCTGGTCAAAGCCTTCATTGCTTTTTCCCTGAACTCCTGCAGTAATAGAACCTGTCTCTAGTATTATCCCCCTTAAATTCTGTATACATCTTCATTTAGATGATATATTTAAAATACATATCTGACCATGTGATTTCGCTGCTTCAAACCCCTCACTGGCTCCTAATTGCCTTTAGGATAAATCCAAGCTCCTAAGCATGGCCTATATATTTCTTTGTGGCCAGAACCCCTGCCTGCCTCTCCAGATTTATCTCCTGACATTCCCCATCCCCTGCTTTATGTTCCACTATCACTGAACTCCTTATAATCCCACCTCCTAATCCTCTTCCCTGCTACTCTGTTTTGTTTTCTGACTTATGTGCCTCATGCAGGCTTCCCGGCTTGGAAGGCCTTTTTTCCCACACTCTTACCACCTTAGCAGTGCCTATTCATTTATTAACAGGTCAGCAGTTAGCTCCTACTCAAAACCTTACTCTAACCCCTGGACTCCCCTCTTCCCCAAACTGGGTTTCTAGATGTAACTATTATTACGTTTCCTTCTCATTCATTTATTCATTCCATCAACTAACCAACAATATTTGTGTTAGGCAGAATTTTAAGTACTGGGATATAGCAAATGATTTAAAAAAAAAAAAAAAAAGTTCCTTCTCTAATGGAACTTATATTCTAGCAAAGGGAGATCCATAATAAACAAGTAAAAATATGTCAGTAGGTAATAAATACTGTGATGAAAAATAGAGTAAGAGGGATGGAATATTCTGAGATTGGACAGGATGTTGCTATTTAAAGAACATGGTCAGGAGAGGCCTCACTGAACATGTGGCCTTTGAGCAGAGAGTGGAGGTGAGAGTGAGCCATGCACCTGTGTGAAGAAACCTTGAGCATCATGCTCAGTTTGTGTTAGGATCAGCAAGAAAGACAGTGTGCTCAGAGCAGAATGGTGAGGGGGAGAGTGGTAGACGCCGCAGAGGGATTGTATAATAGCCTACAGAGGGATTGGACAGCCAGATCATGAAGGGATTGTGGGCTATTATAAGAACTTGGGATTTTAGTTTTTACTGTGGGGCCCAAAACTATGGAGGCTTTTTGCAAAGAAATGACAAGATCGGGCTATGTGCTACAAAGATCATTCTGACTACTGGGTTGAAGATAGGATAGGGTAGGGATAGTGCTAAGAAGAGGCAGAAGCATGGAGACCAGTTAGGAGATTGCTAGAATAATCCAGACAAAAGGTGATGGTGGCTTGGACTGACTAGAGTAGAGCCAGTAGAGGTGGTGATAAGTGGTTGGATTTGGATATAGTTTGAAGGTAGCACCATCAAGATTATAAAGGGCTGGATAAGGGTATAAGAAAAAACAGGGGATAAGGATGACTTCTAGGTTTTTAGTCTCAACAACTAGAAGGACAGGATTTCTGTGAAACGGGGAAGCTGGTAGAAGAATTTTGGATATAAATTGAAGAACTCTGTCAGGCCTCCAGTTGGAGATGTTGAGTGCATAGTTGGAGGCGTGCATATGGAGTTCAGAGGAGAGGTCTGAGCTCAAGATATAAATCTGAAAGCTGTCAGCATTTAGAGATTTCAAAGGTGTGGTATCAGATGAGAGAGAGGCTAAGAGGTGAGATGACTGAGTCTTGGAGCACTCCAAGCTTTAGAGGCCAAAGCGATACAGAGGATGTCTGAGCAAAGGAAACTGAGAAGGCTAGTGAGGCAGTAGGAGAACCAAAGAGAGCAAGAGCAAGTGAAAATGCATTTTAAAACAGAGGGAATGATGACCTGTGTCCAGTGTTGCAGGCGGGTCAGATACGATAAGCGTATTGTGTTATAAGTCCTTGTTTATGTACTTGTCTCCTTTAGTTGTCTGAAATACATTGA